GCCATTGTTTCAAAACTGCAGAGAATCGGAGGATGTACGGCGCGGCGGCGATGCCCTAAATTAAATAAATCCTCGGTGTGAAAATCGAACAGACGGACTAATCCAGCACGGGACATCCTATGTAATGGATTGCACCGCACGAAACGCACGTGCGTCATATACGCAATGACGGACCGTAAGTAAAGTCAGCCAATCGGATTGCGCGCCACGCGCGAAATCAATATCGGCCGATCCGTGATTAATGGCAGCGACGCGAATTATTATTCGGCCGAATTATCTGTTTTGTCCGCGGATTAATTTCGTTTTATCGGACGTCCGAATGCGCCGAAAAGTTCATCGTCCGGCAATCGTCCGTGCGCTTGATAATTACCAAGATGACTGTTTATCGTACAATCAGGTCGGATTTTAGTCCTCTCACCGCCGTTCGGGTCCAACATCCTCGAAGGTTTTTTCTTTTCTTTTTTTCTTTTTTTTTTTCGTATGTACTATGAGGATTATGCCAGCTGCTCTATGCGGACTGAAGAGCTGTCCGCACATGGAAGAGGATGAAAAAAGGGGGATTGGGGGACAACGGTTGAAAGGCGAGTAGAGAAATCCCGCGGATTTCGAGCCAGCCTTGTCTCCCAGTTTCTTTCGGTATTTGGGATCTACGCGCGCCCCACGGGAAATCGTCCTGAGCGGTGTGTTCCATCCGAAACAGGTCTTCGAGATCAGCGGGTTACAGAAGGAAAGCGCCTCTTCCAATTTGACCGTGACAAATCGTAGTCAGAGGTTGACTGCCTCTTAGGACCCGATCGATCGGTATTATACGTGATATTCGAGGAAGTAGGACGGTCCATTAACGCGAATCGAACGAGTTGCCTGGTTGCGTGTCTCGTAATTGGACTGTACAATTAGTGTTAAGTGCAATCGCCCGATTCTCCGCTTGTGATCGTATACCGAGTTAGAATTTCGGAGCAACATAAAATTAAGGTCTCCGATCCATTGCAAGCGCATTAAATTGCATCAAAAGCGAGGAAGTCAAGTGTGATTTATTTGCACTGTACGTCGGAATAAATTTTCTTTTTTTCGCTCAATTTATTTCTGTTAAAAATAAATTTTGCGATTTCATCAAGATTTATAGCCGTGAATTCATGAATAAAAAGAAGTCTTTGGTATATTTAATAAATTTATTCTATCGAATACGAAAAGTGACAGGTCGAAATAAAAGTTCGTAGCTCTATGAACTTCAAAATTCAAGCAGCTGCAATTTCGTTAAAAATGAATGACATTTAAATTTTTTAACAGGACTTTAAACCTTAAAACTTCTACTTTCGAAAGATCACTATGTCTTTTGACAGTTTTTGTGAGTTTCGTAACATTTTCCAGAAAACTACGAGCTGAACAAATGAGTAAGTTTCTTCTCACTGAACCTGTCACGTACCCAAAAAAACTTGCGAAAATTTTCTACTTTCTAACAAACTTTCTCAACAAAATCGTTTTTCGAAAATATTTCTAAGATTTTTTTGTCACTGAATTATCACAAATTAAATAAAAGGAGCATTTTTACTTTAATTGCTCATAATTCCGTTAAAATGAAAATTATCGCAATCAAAAAAACGGATTCTTAAAATTGAAACTCTACTTTATCGAATGGTATAATAGCCAAATTTTTTTACGTGTAGAAATGATACAAATGAGGTAGCACTACGAACTTTTGTTCCGATCCAATAGAAATTAATTCCTACAAATAAAGCAAGAAATTCGTGCAACTTTTTTGATATTATAATTCAATGCTATTGCAACAACTGATTGGGAGATTTAAACACAAATATTGTAATTCACATTTAAACTTTCACATAGTTTTTACATAGCGGAGAATTTTAATTCTCACATATAATTTCGCGCGTAATTCAGATTCCTTCGCTGAAAGGCCGACAAGGATAAAGGTTGTTGGCAAAATAAAAATTCGCAACGTTATACGTAGATATAATAGCATGATGTTCGTCGGCGGCAAACAAAGGGATAAGGCCCCAGCTACGATGGAGAACGGTCCCACTTTGTACGGTCTTGATCCAAAGTTATCTGAGCGGCGCACGCGAGAGAACGAACGCAAGAGCAGATTATATTAAATGGCTGGTAAAACGGTCTGCTTAACATAGCGTTTATCTGCTCCTCTTGGTTTAGTACTTTTTCACTGCCTCGTCAGCCATCGCCCATAAACTCGACTATGACTATCGTGTGTCTCTTTTCCACTCGTGTGACGTGAGAAGGAGAAAGCTCAGTACATTTTTCCACGCGCACGCGTGTGGCACTCTGCACGCAGCCGGACCGGAACTCATAAAAGATACAGGACCGTTAAAACGGTTCATCGTCTCGAGTACTTCGCTCATCATACTTTGACGCCCTTTTTTGTTTATGATAAATTCAAACTAAAACTTTCTGTTATTCTTTGCTCTCCTCTCTTTTTCGCATCGAAAAATCAAAGTGGTCTTCAATGCAGTCTATGTAGACATTGATCATTTATTTTATTTATTTATTATTTAACTCTAATAAAAAACTCTAATAAAAAACTCTAATAAAAAACTCTAATAAAAAAATCTAGAATTATATATGTATAAATATTTTATATGAAAAGATAAAAGTATGCGCTCTAAAAAATATGAATGTAAATTTGACGTTATGGGTATTAAATTAATATAATTCTCATTGGTGTAAAATTACATGCTGATAAAATCCACATATTTATACCAATACAGTGAGGATTATATAAACCGACATGATATTAAATCCATATTTTTTAGTATATAGAATTTAATAAAATTCTAAATGTCTCAAATATAACTCTTTTTTTTTTCAAAATATTGTCAGTATATATTACTTTTCAACAAAAAACATAGTGATCATATCATCTTTGTTTAACATTAACAAACAACAAGAATGTAATGTGTCTTACTCGGTGTCTCTTGCTGAAAAACACTCATTATATTGAGCGAATTATAAAAGTATTTTTATATATAAAATATTTAAATAAAGAATACGTCGATAAAAAAAGTCATAAAAATTATAAAGACAATTCTGAGAACATTTTAGCATTTTAATAAAATATATATATACATTCATCTCTTTAGATAATAATAATTACATTAATAAAGTTTAAAAAGTTTTCTGCGTAGAATATCTGTACAGATACTACAATTTCCTAACAAAATACGTGAAATCTTTTATGCTATAATTTAACTGTACAAAATTGAAGTAGAAAGGTCAATATCTTCGTGAGCTCGAGGCAAAGTACAATTTAAAATCTCAGTATAATCGAATGACGGCAAACGAGAATACAATGAGGAAGGGATAAAAATAATGAAAAAGCATAGGGTTACAAAAATGCACAGGCATTCGAAGATGCGTTAGCAAAAGATACGATTGCGTCCACATTTAAATTTCTCCGAAAAATAATCAATAGTGATCTCGTTTTCTCTCGATCGCGAAAAAGATATCCTTTCGTCGCGTGTATCCAACATCCATTTGGAAATATCATAACGTTACAGAAACGTGGGATGTCGTTGTTGACGTCACAGTCCGCTGTACCAATGACACCCTCGTGTCTCCTTTTTGTGTGTGTCAGTGCATGAATGTGTATACACATGCACAAACACACACCGTTGGAGAAGCGATGGGAAAGAGAGTAGCTTAGTATGAGGGGCGTGGTGTGATGTGGTGTGGTCCTTCCACCCCCAACGGGCAGCGAATACTTTTGACGTAACTTCCATCCCCACACCGATCTCTCTCGTCCCCCTTTCGCGGATTTCTCCCTCTTTCTCTCTTAACCTTCCTCGATCGTGTCCCCCAGAAATAATTGCACGTTTCGCGGTCTCTTGATCCGCGCGTAAAAGTAATCCAAACATCGCATAAAAATTATGTTTACGAGTTTCGAATGGTTCTCTCGCAGGGGTCGCGCGATCGAAGGGTGGACGAAGGGAATGTCAACGCGAATTGCACTGTTGCAGATAGGGATCTCTCGTAATTTTTTGATTTCGCTCTACTGCGCTTACGAGCTGCAACACAACAGCCTGAACGTTATTCATGAAGAAGTTACGATCTTTTTCACGTTCAGAGATTAAATCCCGAGTTGGCAGTCTCGGCGTGCTCGATTTTCAATGTTGATACACCTTGAAATGCAGTCTTATCGCCTATTATCAGGCTTCTTTCGCAACGATTCGAAGATCGTAGAAATCGGATTTGCGAAGCTCAACATTATTTTAATAAAATATACCAATTTCAGTAGCAGTCTCTTTTTATAGTTTTGTGGTTCTTTATAAAAAGAAATTCTGCACTTTTTATATTAAAAAACAAAAAGATAATACATATGGTATGTTAATTTTGGTTCTTTGTTATAAAATATGCGGAATTTTTTTTATTTTTATTAGGAACTGTAGAATTATATGAAAAGTGCTACTATCATTATTTTTTTCATATTAAGAGAATGTAGGAATCTTCTCTGCATATACGTAAAGCATTGAAACCCGAAGTCTCGAAACTGTGCCGATTTCGAGAGTTAAAAATGCAATTTTAAAATCAATACCAAATACAACTAGGCGCCAAAAGTCAGCGTTTTAAATAAGACCTATGATTTATGACGTACAATAACTCGCGCGCACGAACGAATGGAATGAAACTTCGCTCAAGCATAGATATAATCAATGACGCTGCAAAAATAATAATGCATTCTCATAACATTCGATTTCTGTATCATGTGAAATACATATGTATAAAAATACACGGCACTGCCAGTCTAATACGAGAGAGACTAAAAATACATTCGAATCCGCGGTCTCTGTGACAAGATGAGTCGCAAACGAGAGTCTGTCACATCCGAAAGTAATTCATTTAAAAATTCCATTCATCCGTTAGCGCGGTACAAAATAGGCGAGTCGTTCGCACGTAAAGTTTAATGATCCGAGCGGTGCGAGTCGAGCAAAAAAAGCAAATGCTCGTGTTGTTGCAGAGAAAAGATCACTCACCTGTCTTCTCCTTGATCTCGCAGAGCACCGAAAACAAGGCAGGCTTCATCCTATGGCAGTTGAGGGTGTGTTTTCTGCAAGCAAATCGCGAACAGATTAGCTCGACGTCGCTATAAAAATACAAATAAAAAGTTTGTTCTTTGTGGCCACTATAGCGTACACTTGTACTTAAAATGAAATAGATATACATATATTTAAAGTTTGGTGAAAACGATAGAAAATTTTAGTGGTCTGATATAGCAACAGAGAACAGATCTAAAGTGACACAAAAAATGATCGACGTGGGTTTTTTGACAAATTCGGGACTGATCCTTCGAGAAAAAAAAAAGAAAGTTTTCCAGTAAAAAAACACACTGAGAGAAAAAACATCTTAATACAAAAAATAAACTATTAGAATATACCAAATAAATAACTTTTTTGTGTAAAATTATTAATAAAATATTAATTTAAGTAAAATTTTTTTGTATCAAGATATTTAATACGAGGAATATTTGATGAATTGTGATAGCTTATTTTTTTTGTATTAAGACATTTTTTCCTTGTACAATAAATCATGATATTTTTGTGTGCCACTGTTAAACAAAGATGAAATTATCATTGTATTACACAGTATCTCTTGCTGAAAAGCACCAGAAGTTGTCCTCGAGTTCGCCGAGAGAAAAAAAATCGTATGACGAAGGAAGACAAATCTAGATACCATCACTCCGCATACAAATTACATGAAATTATAACTATCGCCGCCGAAATTAACGGCTCAATGCTAATAAAGGCAATTCACTTAATTCAAGGCTGTATGCTTAATTGAAGAGTAGGACCGCAATATTTAAATGGCTAACGTTTAACGCACGTCGCGAAAATTACAAGTGTCTCGCTCTGTACTCCGTGTAAAATGCACATATTCGTGGGAGGCACATCTGGCACTCTTTGTAGCGGGCGTCCAACACGCGGACAGGTACTTAATATAACTTAACATACATGAGCAAAGCCAGGTGAAACGAGCAGCCATACCGTGTGTACACAGACGAGACAGTTTAAATGCAAGAAGTTCGGAGTTCGGAGTATCACCGGATGGATGCTATGTTTCTATTTTATTCGTAAAACGTGTCCTCTTTGTTCATTTACTCGCTAAATTGCAAAGAAAAAAATGCGGTATCAATCTCTTCGCGAATCGATAGATCCTATCTAGACAAATGCCTCGCAGGTCCATCAAATTATCATAAAAAGATAGAGAGGATGTTTACTGAGATATATATTCCGTAAAATAAATCAAACTGATTTAATGCGCTAATGAATAACACGCGCATAATTAGCTAAGTATACACTGAAATCCGCAGTTACACAGTGGAAGCACTATTATCACTCGTTATTAATAAGCACACTGCACGTTTTATAATACCGTATAATTAACTACAAAGATTGTGCAAAATGCGCCCCGCATGTTCTTTTTAAATTGATATATGAGATAAGAAGAACGGACGAGATGTACTTTTTGCGTGACGTTGCGAGAACCGACGAGCGGTATAACATGGGTACACTTTGTAATCTATACGATTTAATGCGTTTCCGTGAACCCGCCGTAACCCCGGGACCCGAAATAAAACCGCGTGTACCGTATTTTATACGTGGGCATCGTCTTGCTTTTATGAGAATTTCGTTTACACGATACTCCTCTTCCTAAGTAGTAACGAATCGACCTCGTAAATCGAAAGTACCATTAAACCTTTAATTCCGCTATTAACGAGCCGTAAACATAATTTTCTGCTCCGACGTAACGCTGATAGACCTTACGGACACTTTAGCGCCAAAGTAGTCGTGGCAATTAAGAATACGACACTACTTATTTTAACTATAAAGTATAACCGATGGTGTAAACATTAAATAAATATATATAAGAAATTTAGAGAGTATTTGAAGAGTGACTCCATTCATCAATTCTTAAGAGTGAAACTTTATTTTTCAAAGCGAGAATCATTCTAAAAGTTTTAGAAAGTGAAGTTTTAGAAAACCAAATATGCGACGATTTCCAAGTGCCGGAAGTGAACAAAACATTCAAGGACAAACGGGCAGGCATTCGAAGGAATTTGAAAGGAAGAAACGGTATTCAATGATACGATATTGAAAAGATATTGAAAAGGTATTCAACATGGACAAGATCAAAGGACGCATCCCGCACGCAAGCACATAAAAAAATGGCGGAGAGAAAAAGGAGGAAAAAGGATATGAGAGACTCGCTACAATACCTCGCTTGCGCCTCGTCCAGGCTCTGGTCCGTGATATTCATGATCTGCTGTAGGATCTCGCCAATGTCCTGTTTCCTGGCCTCGACCGCCTGGTCGGGGCCCTGAGCCGCGGTGCCGTCGACCGGGCCCATGCTGCCGTAGCCGGCGGTGTTCTGAGCCGCCTGACCCTGATTTCCACCCATCAGACCCACACTTGATCCTCCGTGTTGCAGCATCCTGCCAGTCTCATCCATCAACCGAATGCTCGCGCGCTATACTACTTCACTCCCGGTTCAGCGTGCTTCGCGATGCCGTACGCACGGACGTGTTGTGTATATATGTGCACGCGTGGCCTCGCGTGTGTCGCCTTGGGGGCTTCTTTATTTATTTATTTATTTTTTATTTATATCCGCTACGTCGTGGCGCCCAGACGTGACCGACCGACGGAGCGCGCACTCGTGTCGCACTACACGCACGTAACGGATTTATCTACGCGTTATAATCGTATACCAGGTGTCGCGAAAGAACGCGTAATAAACTTGAATAAATCCAACTTTCGCGATCTACCGACCACCTTTTAGCTCGACGGACGTTGCCGCTGGCCGGATGTTGATGATGCACGTGCTTTCTCTCTCTCCAGTCTCCTCTTCCCTTTCCCAGATACGTATTTAAATCGTCGCTCTAGTAGAAGGCGCGCGTTGCACACTTGCAAAAATATATTCTCTCCCTTTCTCTATCCTCGTAGTGATGAACACCTCGTGACTTGGACTCGCGCAACGATCCCCGAAACGCGCGGCGCGAACGATCGACGACTTGGAGGTTATGCCAACGCCGCGGTCTTTGTCCTTCTGCGTGTCGTACGGCGCTTTTAACTCCGCTCCGTTTCGTCCCGTTTTCCTGTCTCCTTCTCTCTCCGTCGCTCTCGCTCACTCTCGCACCGCAGCACGCTTACCTTCCCGCTTGGTGATGCACTTCTATCCTCGGCTTTCTCTCTCTCTCTCTCTCTCTCTCTCTCTCTCTCTCTCTCTCTCTCTTTCGGTGCCACTCTCCGCTCCGGCGATGCACTTTTAATTATTGTATTTTAAAATCTGGTATACACAATATAGGGCAAGTAGAGAATAGGATCTCCTCCGGCGGCTCTAACATTGACGGATTGTCGGATTTTACGTATACGCGGTTATATTGAGACGGTCGGCGTCGCGCCCGGACCGCACTCCTTCCCTCGAGTCAGCACACCATGTATATATATATATATA